ATTTTTTCTTCTTGAAGAATTTTTTTTTGTATACCAATTAATGCAGGTCTGATGAAGATGAGTATTTTCAGTTTTTTTGCCTATAAATGTCTTTATATTGCTATCATTTTTAAATGATATTTTCAGTGTATAAAGTACTAGGTTGGCAGAATTTGTTTTCAGCACATTAAATACAACCATCTCATTATTTACCAGCTTCTGTTGTTACTGTTGAGAAGCCATGCATCAGTTGTATCATTGCTCTTTGAAGATAATGTGCCCCCTTTTCTTTTGGGTGCCAATGATGTTGTTTTCAACAGGATGTAGTTTTAGTGGCATTTACTCTGCTCTGGATCCACAGTAGTTCTTGAATTTGTGGCTTGGATGTCTTCTGCCAGTTTTAGAAAATTCTCAGTTGCTTTCTTTACATATTGCTTCTGCCCTGTTCTTCTCATTTTCCAGCTTCACCTATGTCTGCGCTAGGCATTTTCATCATATTCCATATGTTTCTTCTTATATTTTCTGCATCTTTTATTCTTTTTGCTCTCATATATCAACCTAGATATTTACTAATGACCTGTTCTCAGTAACTAATGTTGTCTTTTTGTAATTCTTCCAATCTACTATTAAAGTCATTCTTAAGTTCTTAAATTTTATTACTGCATTTTCATTTGACTTTCATTTCTTGGGTGTATTCTTTCATTTTTGTCAACATATTAGTTACAAGTTATTTCAACATGTGTGTTTGGTAGCCAAAATAAATGCTTCATCTGCCTTTTATCTTCATTTTATTATTTCTGGGTATGTCTAATAATTTTTATTAAATTCTGGACATTTTATGTTAATGATTGTAGATGCTCTAGATGACTTCCACTTATTCCAGAGAACTTCTTCTTTATCCCACAGAAAATTACCTGAATCTAGGTCATTATCAGAATCTAATCAGGGGTCAATCTGGGTTGCAGTTTTTATAAAACTTTATGTATTTCTACCCTCATTCTTAGGATGTCATTATTTATTTTTATTTTTATTTTTATTTTTTTGAGACGGAGTTTCGCTCTTGTTACCCAGGCTGGAGTGCAATGGCGCAATCTCGGCTCACCGCAACCTCCGCCCCCTGGGTTCAGGCAATTCTCCTGCCTCAGCCTCCCGAGTAGCTGGGACTACAGGCACGCGCCACCGTGCCCAGCTAATTTTTTGTAATTTTTAGTAGAGACAGGGTTTCACCATGTTGGCCAGTATGGTCTCGATCTGTTGACCTCGTGATCCACCCGCCTCAGCCTCCCAAAGTGCTGGGATTACAGGCTTGAGCCACCGCGCCCGGCCCAGGATGTCATTATTTAAAAGTTCCAGCTGAGCCCAGTGAACGCTAAACTTTAATTTTTATTTCTTCAGAACCATGACACTGCTAAATATTCCACTCTGCTTTTCAGGAGTTTTCTTCTTAGCTTCTTAGTAGTCTCTTTTCCTATGTAGTTTGATTTCAGAATCATGGAGTGTCTGGTCACTTTTTCATGTTGCTTTTCTCTCCGAGATTTTAACCCTTCAAGTTTGAAGGAAACTAGCAGTGGCAGCATTCCCCTATGGTACTAATTCCTATTGAGCAGCCTTTCCTCCCAGGTTCTAGAAACATCCTGCCTTCCATTTGCCCATTCAGGCCTAGAGGTAGTAATGGTTTTTCACTGTTGCTGGTCTCAGGACACTTTACTCTCTGCTGTTGATTAATTGTGTCCACGTTAAACACTGTCTTCATTAAAATATCTTCAGTTAAATCCATTGAGCATGTTATTTTTTGCCTTTCAGTGTCCTGACTGGTACCATATTAAAATCTAAGGCAGGAACTGATACTCTGATGTCTTGTTTTTTTTTAAAGCAACAGTAGCCTAATGCAATATTTGTGCTTTAAATGAATGTCTTATGAAGAATGTTTTTATCAAACAACCTAATTATTGGAATTTGCAGATTAAGAGGCTACTTATATGAAATAAATAAATAAATAAAATGAAATTTTATATAAATTATTCTTTGCTTGTGCCAGGCTAAGAAGTCTACACATTGGCTTCAATAAAATATCTCATTTATCCTAACTTCACCTTCTTTTCATAAATACATGAAACTGTTTACAGAACCTTCCTCACCAGCATCCTCACTGATCAACAGAGATTTATGTATTTAAATAGGATAAGCAATATGGTGAGTATATTATTTTATCAATAGCCTACATCCCTCAAAAAAATCATTCAAAAAATGTTCTGTCTCCCCAGATAGAAATCTTGATATCATTCAAACTCCCTGCAATATGTTACTTACTGATAAAGTTTATTCCCCATTTGAAAACATTTATACTGTTGAGATAAATTTCAGCATTCTCTCCATCACAGCACCTCACTTTTTAAATTAACACATAAGCTTTACTTTGTAAAATCTTGTAATCTAGAATACCATACAATAATAATACAAATCAGAATATGATTAAGATTTAAATTACTAGGTATAGACTAAACCAAGAAAAGGGACCAGGGAAAGCCAATTGGATATAAAATGATATTTTAATATCCACAAATGTGGGTAAAAGTCATTTCTACCTGGTTGGGAGCAGCATGAACACATATCTTGACCAAAGCCAGTTAGAAATTTCAGTGGCAAAGCTTAGATTTAAAAAGAACTAATAATCATATTTTCAGCCATCTGACAAGTGCTTTGAGCCCCACTTCCTCTCATTTGATCTAATACTTCATAGTACATTTTTGCTAGAGAAATGAACTTTTGTACGTAGACTGCCTCAGGTTAGTTCTCTGCTATTAAATCTTTGGAAACAGAGTGAGCATGAAAAGGTTTCTAGGACGAGCAGAGTGAAGTTCTGAAGTTCCATTGTTTCTAAGTCCTGCTCTTCTGAAACAAGTATGTCTCTGTTTTATCAGACAGTTGTTGGTGGAAAGAAAGAGAAAGTGTGATAAGATGAGAGAAATGAGTTCTGTGGTGCTTAAAATCATCCATTTGGGCCTAAGGTAAAAATGCTGTCTGTATAAGAAATTCTTCCTTGGTACCAAAAATAGGGAAATTTTGTGAGATGTGAAGTCATCTGGGGCTCAGAAGCCTTAAAATGGCACCAGCAGTCTCCATTTACCACCTCTGAGGACTTTTGGAAATACAGAGAACTGTTTAGTTCTGGACATGGAACTTGCATGTCACAAGGCACAAAAGTATCTGAGCAATAATGGCAGCAGGGACTTCTTGGGAAGATGTGGATCTCTGAGTATGACACTATTTGCTATCTTGATGCCAGAACCAATCACAGCAAACCAAAAAGGAGCTTAAGTCCAATGTCTTTTTTTCCCTTTTTCCAGATTAAAAACTTAGTCTCAATGAGGTTGGAGGAGTACTTACCCCAAATGATACAATTAATCATATTAGCTAACATTAATTAACCACTCTGCTAATAAATTTATACTCCTAGACTCACTTAATCTTCATAACAATCTCATGTAGCAGGTACGATTATGATAACAGAGGCAGAATATTGTTTTAAATTCTGACTCCACCACTTCTAACCAGAGGCAAGGGACCTAGTCAATCTGTCACTAAGTTTCCTCATTTTTAAAATGAAGATAATAATATCAGCAGTAACAATAATCAAAACAATAATGTCAGCAAGCTATTAACACATTAATTCCATCCAGTAGAGACACATTTCTAAATGTATGTTAGACACTTACTGTTTCACCCATCTGACATTTCTATCACTCCATTTCCCATGGAAATGGATTCCATAAGAAGAGGAAAAAAGAGGAGTTTCTCTCCAATACTTCCAAAGAGGAGAAAGGAACAAGAGGAAAAAAATTTTCCTGTACAATGTCCAAAGCCCAGATGAATTGTGAGTACCTACAAACCACTCAGAGAAGATTCTTATGTCTCCTTTGTACTGGGTAAAGTGGTAGTAATATTATTTCAAATGGCAGGTGGACAGATTTTGAAAGTAGTGAGTTAACATAGCTCTGTTGTAAACTCGTATATTTCCACTCATAGCCCTGCCGTTGGGCACCCCCTTGACCCTCCCTCTGGAGTCCCTTAGAGGACATGAAAATGTGAGCCCACGGGCCCAGGTCCTTGTTGCTGACCCAGATTTCATTCTACTTTTAATAATTTTACTGAACGTTCCCAGCTTTCCCCCACATGCATTATGTGTCCATCAGCACCAAAACATGCATCTGGGTATAAGCCATAGAAAAGAGACTGTGAATAGGTCATATTTTAATTTTCTTTTCCATACCAACAAATGACATGGGACTCCTTTGGGTGTACATTTGACACCCTCATGAATACCAAATGAATTTATTATGATTAGTGCTTTCACCTAGAATATGACATTAATTCATAATGATTGATAGGCTACTTAAAATAAAGTAGTAACCTTTTCCTAAGGTGGCTAGGTGACCCCCACATCCACTTCATTAGTTATATTCCCTGAACTGTATTTATGTAAATGGAAAGTATCACAAGGCTACTTTATCCCTTGTTATACCATACACACAAGCATAACTCTCAATGTGACTACATCTTATACAAACCAAAGAACAATTTTGTTTCATTCCAGAGTATTTGATGATGTTTTATTTCTACTTTTGAAAAATGTACACAAGTTATGATTAAAAATATGTAATAATCAAACTTATGTAATATTGTGAGGAGCTATTTATACTCCTTGTCTTGTCAAAAAATATTGCTTAATTCCATCTTGGATAAATCAGTAAAGTCCTGCTCACATAGTTAAAATAATGTTTGCATTCAATGCATGCTTAATGCATTTATGAAAAAATAAAACCTTGTATCATTTAATATGGATTCTTAATCATTCCTTTGAACTAAAACATACGAACAAAGGGAATTTCTGCACACCAGGTTCATGTTGTTAATTGGGTGCTTAGAAACTGCCAAATAGGCAAGGGCAAGAGTTTAAATGTTTAAAAGAGATATACAGAGAAAACCAACTGCAAAGCTGTATACCACTGGGTTCTCATTGCTTTTCTACTTGTTCCCTTGAATGTGGTACTTCTCACAGCCTGGCTATTATCTGTTCAAATTGTTACAAACGTGCCTTTCCCTTTCTGGCATTATTTTGATCAAGTTAACAAATTGAAGGTTTCATGAAAACTAAAACAATTAAGTCATAATACACTGAAAGAAGAACATGATGTATAAGCTATCAAAAAAGCAACAACTGAGCTGACTGAATTGTATTCTATCTAAAAGCATAGGACTTAGGTTTTATAAGTGAGTCGCAGAGGTGTGGACTTTGGAAGTTAACAAAAGCAAATTGTCACTTTGCTCTCCTCATGCTGGGTAAAACTCATTGTTTCTTAGCAAAGCTGTGTGCAAAAATAGAGCTGGAAATTTAGCCACACTATCCACTCTGCCTTTGGTAGGGCAAGGCCTTGAGTAGATCACTTAACATCATCTTCATGTCTTAGTTTCTCTTCATTTACTACACTAATGTCCATCTGTTTCTTTTCCCAGGGTTGTGTTGAGGAGCAAATCAGATATATACATAGGCCTATTTTCAAAAATACAAAGCATAAAACAAAATCAAACATTATGAAATGCTATTTAAACCCTCATCATTGTGTAATATAAGAATTTCACATACCAGATGCAATGGTTATTCATTCAAACAAATATTAACTGAGAGATTTCTTTGTGTACTAGGAGAGGTGCAAGGATAAAATGGGTTATGTCTAGAAGAAAGCAAAACAGCCACATAAACTGTAATATACCCAAGATAGGCAGTGGGAAGTAGCAGCGATGAGTGAAATATAAATAATTGCCTAAAACAGTTCAAAAGAGAACCAGAAAGTCTTGTGAAAGAAAGTTCACTAAAGCTAGTCTTAAAGGAAGATAGGACTTAGAGTTTGGGAAGAGATGGGGAGGCAAGTGTTCCAAGTGGAGACAAAACTGGAATTCCCCTTCATGGGGTTCCGATTAGTTCTGGGTTAGCATGGTTGAGGGAATGTGGGGAAATATTTACTAGTGAATATCTATTAAGTGCCTACTGTGTGCCAAGCATTTTTTAACATGCTGGGTAAACAGCAATGACCAAAACAGACCAAATCACTGCCCCTGCGGTGTCTACATTCTAGTGATTATAAATGTATGCTACCAGATATCTGTAGCCCATGATCTCCTTCTACAACACGCTTCTCCATAATTATCCCCTTTCTTCTCAAGGTAGCCAAAGCAGACACACACACACACACACACACACACACACACACACACACACACTTATTTAGATGCTAAATTTAGAGTTACACCATTAATGTTGGCCAAGATGCAGAACTCTCATTGTATGTGAGAAACCAAAGTATTTTTCAAAAGTTGGTGGAGGAAAAATTAAAGAGAATCAAACAGAAGGGGTGTGAAGAGAAGAAATTATCCCAGCAGTTTTCAATACTAAATGCACATTAGAATTATCTGGGAAACTTTAAAAAAAATACTCATGTCTGGACATCGACTCTAGAGCAATTAAATCAGAATCTTTGGAGGCTGGATTCAGACATCTTATTTTTAAAGTTCCTTAGGTAATTCAAATGTGTGTGTGTGTGTGTGTGTGTGTATTGAAAAACCACTGAAGTAATCAATAGTCCAAAGGACTAGCTCACTTGTTTTTTTTTTTCTTTTTTTTGCTTCACTTTACAATTTAGATAAACGAAGAGAAAATTTGCATTAACCTCTACATCATTTGTCATAATTCAGGCAGCAAATCATAGAATTTTGGAAATGAGAACAGTATTAGATATTGAGACAGGTGAAAGAACGCCTGAGAAAGTCGAAATGACAGTCTCCTAAGGATACTTATTTGGAGGTGGCAGTGAAGGTAAGTGGGAAGAAATTGAAATGCAAATCTGGTTTCCCAGATTTGAGTCTTGGTTTCATAGCTGACTTCGTGATTTTATTATCCATTTGAACTTTGATATTCTCTTCTGTAAAACTGAAAAATCATTACTTCTCCCTCTCCTACCTTACAGGGTTCTATTGAGACTCACTGACGACAGTATCGGTGAAAAATGTATTATAAACTTAAAAGCTTTAACACAAGTTTGAGACATTATGTTCTAACAGCTGATGCAACATCAGTAAATAAAATTTAGTTCTGTGAGACAATGTCTAAAGCAGTGTCTTTTCCATGCATTTAGGTGTGGCAAATAAAACCAGACCTATTAGGTACATACTCACCAATAAGGTCATTTTGTTCCATGCTACATAGTTACGTTATATTCTTTACTGTCCAACAGTCCTCTCTACAAAAGCCCTTTTGGAAAAACTTTTTAATAATGGCAGGAAACCAAAGCAAACTAATTGCCTATTAACAATCCAGATGAGATTATGCTAATTTACTTTGAAATCAAATAAAAATGGAGAAGGAAAGGAAATATGGGAGGAGAGAAAGCCTTAAGAATTCATGAAGAAAGCAGCAAATCTAACTGACAGAAGATAAACTTCTTGGGCACCAAGGCAATGAACATGGTGTTGATCTATGTGTTCGCAGATGTGGCTTCAGGGTATAATCTGTCCAGCTGCTCAGTATCAGGACAGCCACATGGGCACCACCTCAGGGAAGATAAATACAAAACCTTTTAGTCAGGGAGATAAACACAATTGCTGCTGCTAGTTCTTACATGGAAAACCTGCTGATAGTCACTGTTGGAGGAAGAAAGTGCCATTGAAATATTCTGAAGCATAGACACTAAAAGACCTGGCCACAAATCCAAGGAGTGATGGGGGTATGGAGGCTAATAAGCTTGGCTTGCACCAATTCTTTCAAGGTGGGTAAACGTATACCACTTGATTTCATTAAGTGGTACATGGAGCAAGTTTAGAAGGCACAGTACAATCAGGAATCTTGTATTATAAAATATTGTTATGTATAATATATACAAGCTACACTTCAAGGTCAGCGACGGTCAGAAATATGAAAGTCTAGGAAAAAAATGCCGGTGGATTAATATTGCTCCTCTATTAGAAGCAACAAAAATCATCCAGTCTTTATGAAAAAGGCCAGTTCATCTATTAGCAAGCAGGAAATAAAAGAGAAATAAAACTGTCCTCTGTTTGTTTTAAAAATAAGCTCTTTGACCTTCTCAGAGATTTCAATCACATGATATGGTAAATTCAAGAAACAACCTGGATGTTTCGGGAAAAATCCAGGCCTTTGTTTTAATTATTAAAGCCAGCATGTTGCTACTTCGCGTGTGCATATTTACTCAGCAGTTACACCATGTAGGGACAATCGTAGGTGCAATGAGAAACAAAAAGAAGAATCAGACATAGAATCAGCCTTCAAAGAGCTTACGATGTACTATGGTGACGCCACATACAAAGCAGCAAAGCACTGTAGAAATAGATGCCCTTAAACAGAAAGCGTGATAGACAGTGAAGAGAGGGAGGGAATTCCTTCCAAAAGCGTTGATCCAAAAAAGGCTACAGCTGCTCTTACTTTCCTCTTACTTGTCAGTTATGAGTTGATCTAAAATGGATTCTTCCTCACTAACACCTTAAGTATCTCACAGTGGAATAAGTATTCTTGGGTTAATTCTCAAGAAACTTGATATTCTGTCTGTAGTTTCAAATAGGGACCCAACCCTGACACTATAAAGACCTAGAATTGTGTCCACCCTCTGAGAGCAGTTCTGGGTCATTTCTGCCTCTGCTCATACCTAAAGTAGGGATTTATTCCAGGGCTCCATGGATGAGCTGCATAGTTAATGGGTGCCTTGGCATTATATGCAAAAATACTGTGTGCAGATGCTCTTGTGTTTTTCTTTCACAGCTTTAATCAAAATGTTTTAAGTCAGGAGCAACTCTGAGGTATTCCTGATACCTGGAGCACAGTATCTATCAGATTAGCCGGGAGATACCTGTAGCCAAATTATAGGTGGGATCCCCATGATTTAGATTGAAATGGAGTTAGTACAGCGAGCAAATAACAAATCAGGTTTTCTCTCAACAAAGATGGAAAAACTTTTTCTTAGTGTAGTATTAAAAGATTTACTTGACCAAGCTTGGGCTTTCACTTTTTCCATAAAAGAATATGTGTTGAAATAGAAATATCATTCTCAGATCAAATAATATGTATGTGTTGAAATGGTAATACTATCTTTGGATCACATGACATTCAGATATACTCCTGGTTCTAAATGAAAATGATGAAAGCTATTGAATTTGAGAACATAGTCTTTGTCTAACAATTTTGGCAACCATTTACCAGTGGACTTTTCAGAATTCTATAAAGTGGGTGTTGATGGTATGCAGACCAGGCAATAATAATCTTTACTGGAACAGAATGAAGGAAAGGAAGGAAGCTAAAAACTTTGCTTGGTATAATTGTAGTTTAAGACACGTTATTAACACCCCTGGATTGACTTGTGTAAGGCATTAGAAACCAGTATATTTCAGTGAGTAAAAAACAAAATACCTAAACCCAGCTATTTGCGTTGTATGCAAATAATCACAGTTTGACTGACTGAATTTTTCATGCTCTAACCAGCTGTTTTGGCATTTTGTAGACACAGCTTGAATAATTCCATCTACTTTCCATCAGTCCTACATTAAAGTGACAATGTGTTTGTGTTTCGTAACATTTTCTAAAGTTGATAACTTTGTAAACAATTAGATGGTTGACTCGGCTTTCTAAAATATGGACATTTCTCATAAATTGGTTGTTCTGAGAAAGAGCAGTTTTTTCATATCCAAAGGGCATTGCAGAGACCACAGAACTAAACTGGCCATCTCTTCCTTTGTTTCCGGACCTACTTTTCAATATATCACTTAAGTGGTACATAAATTTATTTTAAATGGCTTACCTCCATTTAGGTACCTATCAAGAGAAATGGAAATGTCTGTTCCAAAGTTATCAAAACTTTCCTGATAGCAATATTTTTATTTAATTAAAAGAGAGAGAGAAAAAAATCAAATCATGTCACAGGAAGGTGGAAGGACACCGCAGGCAGGACTGTGTTTTCCAATGGCATCCAGGAAGATAATGAGTCCATGTCTATGGAAATTGATTCATTAATATTTCATTGAGGCAGCTTCAGAGCAATTCAAGAACCAGCTCCCAGGAATTCAATCAGTAAACTCAATGAATTCTTGAGCTTAAAATACCAGGGGGGCAAAAATATACATACATTTGGAATGGGTGCATATTTATGCATACTGATGTGACACATACATGCACATGAATACAGGTACATATATTAAAACACTGCACATGTAAAAGAATGTCATTTCTAGGCTCAAACCCAGTCTCACCTGCCTTTATTTCACCTTATTCTTAGGAAGAATTTCCATATAAAACAAAAATCATATTGCTTAATATTTTCTGTCTGCTGAGTATCTGCCTTGGAAGGTAAATTAACAAAAAAGTTGGCCACAACTTGTTCACTGTTAATCAAGTATTTACCAATAAAGTCTCTTTAATCAAATAACAGAATATAAAGATGGCTCTCAGAGACCCATGCTGGGACTGGAAAAAGAGGAGATCAAACATTTAATGGAGGAATTCTAGTTTGGTGCAGAACAGCCAACAACTCATCATGTGATGTACACATTGAGAAAGGCCAGTTAGGGAAATAGTTTCAAATTATCATGTTGGCTAAGTAATTGGTCTTTGGGTGTCCCTAAACACCAACCTATAAATAATTTTATTTTCATTTTGGATCAATGTCTTCTAGCCCTTGTCTAACTAACCTGTATTGATGTCTTTTTAATTAAACCATGCGTGATATGCTCGCTTGGCAGTGGGGCATACTGAGTGTGCATGCTAGGAATTCCAGATAAAGTAATTATGCTATTTGTCACTGTCATGATTAATGTGTGACAGCTGTTATGACAGCTGTGCCACTGTTTTGTCACAATACTCTGTTCATCCATAACAAAATTAGCTGTCGTACTCAAAGGTACACACTTGCTGCTATTTCCTTCTGAAGTCAACAATGAGAAAATCGAGAGGGAATATTACATGAACTCCGTGACAAACAAGAAAAACGACATCTTTATTTTTTTTTTCTTTAAATGATGATATAACCTGCCTGCATTGGAAATGCAAATAGCTCACCTCTAGCAAACAAGCTGTCACAAGAAGCCAATCCACTACTAATCTAGCTAACAAGGTCTCAGTATGTGAGGGGTTTGCTTCATAATTTGAATCTGCCTTGTCAGGCAAGCCTTTTAGATGTTACCCAAATTAGCACTGGCTGGAACTGTTTCTGCCTGTCAAGGTGGAAACCTGCAAATGCAGTGCTATAATGGGAAGTGGGAAATTGACTCACCCTTTCCTTTAGGCATCAGTCAAGTGGAGCAAAATAGGCGGCTCTTCCTCCATCTCTCTCAAGACAGCTGTTCCTTCCTCTTCTGGCACCCCTGCATCCTTAACGGGATATATGCTTTCAGGAGCTGATTCCGAATAGAGATGTAAATTGTCAGATGAAGGCAGTTATTAATGTTAACCAATATTGTTTCTTACAGAACCCTAAAACTGGACTATAAAACCATGGAAGACACTGATGTGAAGAGACAGATGGCTACAATAATAGCGTCATTATTCTGTTGCTTTGGGTGAAGTGGATACTGCATATGTTCTATAAATTTAAAAGAAAAAAAGAGCTCATGTCTATTCATAATGAAAAAGAAACATTGTACCATCAGAGACGTTGGGTGCCATAGAAAGAAAATATGTCATGTCAGATAAGCATCTAAGTGAACATATTTTATCTCTTAAAAATTAAAAGAACAACAGCCGTAGCTATTATTTTTTCAACAAATGATTAGTTTGATATACTGATAATATATTTGAATTTGCCAATAACTTAATCAGCAAATATAACGTGCACTTTTAATAAGGATATTGTTTAAGTCAGGCCCATCTGCACTGTCTCTCCCTGGCCTCCTCTCCAAAAACAATCGTGGATCAGAAAAGTGAATAATGTCAAACAATTATAATGATTACAAAGGAACTGTTACCACCTGCTGCTGACTCTTGGCAGTCATCAGTCAATGAAGGATTTAATTAGAATATTTATCAACAAAGGCCAAAATGCCTTTTGATTTGTTCCCGATTTCTCCAAGTTGGAAGAGTAAACTCTTTGCAAATTTTAATTAAGACACTGGAAATTTTGAGGGTCTTACCCAACCAGTTTTATTCAATTCTCTAATTTGGTTTTCTTGATTTGTAACAGGTATGTGTGCCCTTGGTGATTCTTTTCACTTTTTATTCTATTCTATTCTATTTTATTTTATTATTTTTTGAGACAGGGTCCATGTAACCCAATATGGAATGCAGTGGTGTGATCTTGGCTCACTGCAACCTCCTCCTCCTGGGCTCAAGGGATCCTCACACCTCAGCCTCCTGAACATGATGACTAATTTATTCTTTTTATGTTTTGCAGAGACAGGGTTTCACCATGTTGTTCAGGCTGGTCTCAAACTCTTAGGCTCAAGCAATCCACCTGCCTAGGCCTCCCAAAGTGCTGGGATTACAGATGTGAGCCACAACTTTTTAAGTTGAAGAGTGTCTCCTTCCTATTTCAAAAAAGACCAAGAACACTGTCTGCCACATACTATTACCAAACATCTAGTGTTTAATTACTAGATCATACAGGAAGTTCAGATGAAGGAAGAGATGGCTGTATATGCTGACTGTCCCTACATTCTTGGCATTTAGATAAGGTATCTTTGTTAACTGTTTCTATTAATTCTGAGAACTGCTTGTTGAAAAATTGTTCATCTTCAAAGTCCATCTCCAATGCCATCTCTTGCCTAAAGCCTTCCACGAAATTTTGTTGCCATGCATTCTTGCTCTTCCTTTTTTCTCTGAACTTCTGTAGCACTTACTGCCTGCTTGCTTGTTTTCAGCACCAATGACATTTAGCTTTGGATAACAAATATTTGCTTTTCTTACTCTTGGGCTCTGAGAGAGCGGGAAACACTATTCTGAGTCTTTTAGTTTCTCACAGAGTCTAGAATACTACCTCAAACACAGTAGGGTCTTTTTGTTCACATTTATGAAGTAAATTAATTAATGCATAATGGAATGCTGAGAAGAGTGTTTGTATATTATAGTATTTGTATTCAAGTTATACTTAGGAATTCAGGAGCTATTTAATGAATATAACTTTTTATAAGTGAACATGAAATATTTAAACAGACAAAAGCTCCCAAGTGATAAAAATCAGACAACTTTTAACAACAACTACTATACCCAGAAAGGATGTCAAATAATGGGACACCTGAAATAACCATAGTAAAAAAAAAAAAAAACAGTGTTCCAACCAGAGAGCTAACCTATCCTTGTCTAAAGCCAGATAGGTCTATAGAAGGCCTCTCTGTATAGCTGAAAAGGCATCCTTAGATATTCACAGATAGTACCAAATAGAATGATGCATTTTTTGGTAGTTTTGTGGGAGACAATTTTTGCAGAAGGCAGTTACACTGGAGGATAATTGCACTTTCAGATTTCCACAGGTTTGTGGAATTAGCAATTAAGCATAGAAACAGCTAGAGTAATAGAAATACAGTAAGTCCTCACTTAACTCCATTGATAGGTTCTTGGAACTGAGACTTTATGCAAAATGCTGTATAACAAAACCATTTTACCATAGGCTAACTGATAGAAACAAGAGTTAAGTAAACATTATTGAACTTCTAAATAAAGACCAAAACATTTCTAATATTAATCATTGAAATGAATGTGAACCAAATATTCCAGTTCAGGTTTAAGGGTGGCCAGAGCCTATCAGGTATCTCAGTGCACAAGGTGGGAACCTACTCTAGAAGGAATGCCATTCTATTGCAGGGCACAGTCACACACTCACACTGAGACCACATAGACACATGCCAGTTCACTCAACACATACAGCCTTGGGATATGGGAGGACACTGGAGTATGCACAGAAAACCCACACAGACACAGGGAGAATGTGCAAACTCCACACTGACAGTGGCTCCAACTGAGAATCTTTTTTTTTTCTTTTCTTATCAACATTACAATGAACTGACATTATTCGAGAACCTGCTGTACAGGAGATGGGCTACATGGAGCAATGCCAAGAAAAAACTTAGAACTCTGCAATTAGGGGATAAACTCTAGTACCAGAAACCTAAACACCAGGATGAGATAGGGGTGAGAAGCTCCAAAGATGATGCATACTTAGCAACAGGTAGGAAGAAGAAGACCCAGCTCAAAGCCTGTCAGACTCTACAGGGACTTCTTTATAGTTAGGAAGAATCAGTACATACCAGAAGCCACTAGAGCTTGAATTTAATCTATAATTTTGTTTGCTTTTGGTTAACTATTTAGTAACCTGAACATTTTTCTTATCGTGTAGGCTCAATTCCTTTAAAGATGTGACTGAATTTTTATTTAAAGGCATAACTTAACAGATATTATAAATAAGGGGATACCAAATCAGTGGACTGACTGGAATCTTGGAAATTTCTGGAACTGTGATTAGGTGATATCCTATAAGCTGCTGAATAATACCTTTTCCTCTTATATATACCAGCCTTATATTTGTCCTTAAGAATTAATCTGATGGGTTCCTTGCTGTTCCAAAGAAAGTGATTTTTGAATGGCATTACCTGTCTGTTTTCTCAGATTCCAGTTCTAAGCTAAAGACAAGGGCCTTCAATGATCAGTGATCTACTGAAACACTTGAAAACTATGCTAACGCTACCAAAACTCACATACCATGAATTTATCCTCATCCCCAATAAAAAAGATGATTAACAAATTGGAATACTACATGAGAGTGTTTTCAGAAAGCTTTGTTAAGATGGCAATATATAATTAAAGTTGTAGGGTTTATTCAAAAAGCAATGACTTAAGAAACTGGGCATGTGACCCAGTTGCCTGGCTTGAGATGTGCTGCTATTCCATTCTTCAAATAATGAAATGACTCTCTGAAACTACCCTTGTAATATATGCCAAGCTGACCTTTTTAACACTTCTAATAAATCCACTAGTTCTGGGGACCTTGTTTCCACTTGATAATGAGAGTGTTCTCTTCCTACTCTCAGAGCAATAATATGTATAGTCCTTCATCTAGCCCAGTGGTTCTCAGACTTCACTGCACATTGGAATTACCTAGGTAGCTTAAAAAATACCGATGCCACTAGAACTACCATTTGATGCAGCAATCAAACTACTGGGTATGTACCCAAAAGGAAATAAATTACCACATCAAAAAGAAAGAAGACTACCGAATCCTAGGTCTCACCCTCAGGTATTCTGATTTAATTGGTCTGGTAAAGAGCCTAGGCACTGGGATTTCTAGAAGTCTCACAGGGAATTCTACCATATGGCCAAAGTTGAAAACTGTTACTACAAGCTGAATGTTTCTTTACAATTAATGTGCATACAGATCACCTGAGGATTTTGTTAAAAATGTAGATTTTAATCCAATGAGTCTAGACTGAGGCCTGAGAGTCTGTATTTCCAACCAAAGTCTAGGTGATGCTGATACTCCTGGTCTATAAAACGCATCTGAGTAGCAAGGATCTGGATGACTCTCACTTCCACAAGTTTACATCTACATTATTGGACATATTGGGGATTAATGGTAATGATTAAGTGGAAAGATCTGTGTTTACAGTCATAGTCCAATATTCTTTTCAAATCATATCCTAATTAATCTGAGTACTATATTTACAGACATGAGTAGGGTAAGAACACTAAGTAGGGAGAAAACACCTTAAAAATGAAGATTCACAGATATCTGCTTACAGTCATTTATATTGCTCTCATCAGAAAAGATTTGCTTTCAAAATGAATTTTTTTTTTTTTTTAGAATTCAGTTGAAAACACAGATTCTTTCCCCACCTATGCAGGACATTTTGACACCTTATTATTTTACTTGATTCCATGCATGTCCATGTTTTCAGTATCACGTGACAGTTGTGTTGAATTAGAGAGCAGAAAATTAACACACTGATGTTTAAATATGGATTCTTGGGACAATTCAGTCAGAGGTGGAAGGGGTGATGGTTCCTTCAAATAAACACAGTACTACTTTAAGACATTATTCCTTTGGTCTTCACATTTCTCTAAACTGGTTAAAGTCTATAGGCCTTAAATATAAAATGGCTGCGCAACTATACTTCCAATAAATGGTAAATTTTGGTGTGGCCATTGTTGAAATTTTAGAATTAAGTAAATTTCAGAGAGATGAGATTGCAAACAACATGTTTCTTTTCTTTCTTTTTCGTTTTTGTGTAAGGGAGATGAAGGGGCACATGGGGAAATGTGCTCATTTAGTTGCTACTTCATATACAAACAAAAAATGAATGCTTTCGTATTTTCACACCACACCATGCTAGCATCATCTTTCCTCTAGAATAGGGTCAGACAAAACCCTGGGACCAATCCAATCCACTGCTTGCTTTTGTACAGCTCACAGCCCAACTGAAATGGCTATTGAATGTCTAAATAGTTGGGAGAAAAAAATCAAAACAAAAATAATATTTCTTGACATTTGAACATTATATAAAATTCAAATGTTGGTGTTCCTAAAATAAGGCTGCTTTTGTGCTACGTCAGAATTATTTGAGACCCACTACATGGCCCACAAAGCCAAAAATATTTATTTTCTGGTGATTTACAGAAAAAGTTTGCTGATCCTTGCTCTAGAGATATCCTCATTTTCCTTTTAATTTTTTCTTTTCCCGAGATGGAGTTTTGCTCAGTTTCCCAGACTGGAGTACAGTGGTTCCATCTTGGCTCACTGCAACTATCACCTCCCAATTCAAGCGATTCTCCTGCCTCAGGCTCCCCAAGTAGCTGAACTACAGGTGCACACCACCACGCCTAACTAATTTTTGTATTGTTTTAAGTAGATACAGGGTTTCACCATATTGGCTGGTCTTGAATTTCTGACCTCAAGTGATCCGCCCTCCTCAGCCTCCCAAAGTGCTTGGGATTATAGGCATAACCCACCATGCCTGGCCCTTAATTTTTAATTAAAGTTGAAAAGGTGCTTTGTGTTGCAGACTGTACTGGTTTCCCAAGTTTCGACCCCTCCCATCCCTGCATGCACATACAAGTGAGCACACACATACACTCTCATTTTGTCTCCTTTGCCTTCTCCTGCTCTGAAAACCAGGAAGTCTGAGCAGCATCTGCTTCAGAACCCATTCTATTTCCTTTTCCTGGCCAGAAGAATGAAATTCTTTAAAAAGGGAGGTGAAGGGGCCGGGCACAGTGGCTCACGCCTGTAATCCCAGCACTTTGGGAGGCTGAGGGTGGATCATGGGGTCAAGAGATCGAGACCATCCTGGTCAACATGGTGAAACCCTGTCTCTACTAAAAATACAAAAAATTAGCTGGGCATGGTGGCGTGTGCCTGTAATCCCAGCTACTCGGGAGGCTGAGGGGAGAATTGCCTCAACCCAGGAGGCGGAGGTTGCGGTGATCCGAGATCGTGACATTGCACTTCAGCCTGGGTAACAAGAGCGAAACTCCGTCTCAAAAGAAAGAAAAAAAAAGCGGGGGAGCTGAAGCTTGAAAGCACAGAGAATCACCTTTCCCTGTTTCCCGCTGTCTCAGCTGGCCCAGCTCCTAGAAGATAGGGTCTGTAACATATGTTGCAACTTTCCTCCCAAGCCTTCTGTGTGGAGAGTATTCCAAAAGTGAACAGACCTTTCTCTTGTTGAAATTTTCTGTCAAGAAGACTTGTGGCCAGAAAATAGAAAACTTTAAAATCTCTGCATAACTTATGGGAGGAATTTGGCATAACCGATCAAGTCTACAGAAAGAATTTTTTTTTAAATTTCAATAAAAAGCTGCCAGATTATCAGCTTTGAGAAAGAGCAAGAATATCTATTTTCCTTTCCCTTAGGAAATGACACTAAAAAGAGTGCCTCTGGACACATATAAGGCAGAAAGGAAGAGGAAAAAAGAATAAAAGGAATGCCTCAAGCTTTCATGTTCTTTGTAAGAGTTTGTAAATTGAGCTGTACGGATGACATAAATATGTGAGTGGCTCTGAGATTCAGAAGGGTCATTCATTTCCCTTGTAAAGATATTCTGGTACTATGAATGACTCTTGAGAAAAAGACATAAAGATTACAAGGCTCTGGCACCTTCAACAGCCGCATGGTGAAGTGGTGGTTGGGGCTGGGGGAGCAGAAAAGGGAGTGAGAAAACTGGAACTCTAATCTGCAGTTACAACTTCCATTGTCATGGACATGACCCCTAACCTTTTTGAGTGTTTCCCTCCACTATGAAAGGAGGAGGAAAATGCTCTCCCACCTGGCTTGGTGGGACTGTTCTAAGATTCAAATGTGATAATATATGTTAAATGCACTCTGTTGACTGCAGATAACTAATCTACTTTAAGATACTGTTTTATCACCATTTGTCTTATGTCCAGAGCTTTACCTTATTGCTTAATCAGTTTCGTTTAAACACCTACAAAATAAAAGAACTTTTATATCTAAGCTCTATGTTGTAGAATAACATTTATTTTCTGACGTCTACAAAAAATATATAAATCAATAAAAAATACAGTTGGGTATGGTGGCATGTACCTGTAATCCCAGCTACTTGGGAAGCTGAGGTGAAAGGACTGCTTGAGCCCAGGAGTTTGGGACCAGCCTGGGCAACACAGTGAGGCCCCATCTCTACAAAAAAAAAAAAATTAAAAATTAGCCAGACATGGTGGCACACACCTGTAGATCAGCTACTCAGGGGCTGAGTTGAAAGGATAGCTTGAGCCTGGGAAGTTGAGGCTACAGTGAGCTGTGATCACACCACTGCACTCTGACCTGGGCCACAGAGTGAGACCCTCTCTCAAAAGTGAACAAATAAATAGAAAAAATAAAATAAAATGAATAAATAAAATAAAATTTTAAAAGATAGACTCAGAGTCCAGATTCCTAAGGCAACTACTTCTAATGGGCTCCCCTTTTGAGGCAAGGTAGCTGGGGCCTGACCAGACATATTATTCCACAGGCCACCATTTTCTCAGAACATAGTGCAAATGTCCACTTAAAAACCAAACAAAACAAAACTCATTCTATATTTCCTTAATCTCTGTAATTGAAAGTGGTGCCTGTGTTCTCATATGATCATGGTTCTCAAATAAATAAGTTAGAGGGAAATCGAGCAAAAGTAATAATGTGCACTCAGAAGTACAGGCCTAAGTAGTTTCTTATCACCACCATGAGCAATAGTCATTATTTCCTTTGACATTAGTGTTTTTTTTTTTGTTGTTATTATTGTTGTTTACATCCAGATACAGAGATCACATAACCACTGTTGGGAAAAATATTACCTTGAAACAACATCACATGGGAAGGAATCGCATGGGTTGATTTGTATTATCATCTTATGCTCCTTATATAGATTAGTGTAGATATCTTTACCAATTTTTTCATGCAAAAAAAAAAAAAACCTTTCCAGAGGTTAAAAAGTATTTTTAAAAGTACATGGCAACTTTGTATAAGTCTGATCTTATAACTCTGGAATGCTTACATGGGTTTATAATCTGTTCTCTGAATGCTTAGAGAAAATATTCAAGCATCCAAAGATTAAAAACGAATATGTACCAAGCACCTACCATGTGCCATGCCCTGCTTATTGCTAGTGCCTCACTGGGGACAATCATGGTCTTTTATATCCACTGGTTGTGTGCCTTCCTCCTAGCAGACAGTACTATCCTTGACCCTCCTTCTGGTCAAAGATGCCCTTGAAACTCCTGGTTTACACTGGTATATATTCTTGGTTCTGTGAGCCTCCTCTCCCTCATGCCCTACTCTTGGCAAAGCACTCTAATGCCCCTCAAATACAAGTGAAGGAAGTTAATTTCATGCTCCAAAAAATAATGTTTGGAGCTGCATATTTTTAGCATCTAGAAAACATATGCCTACTAGTATTACACTAATAGTGCTAAAACAAATACTAGGTTCTGCCAGAAACATCTCATGCAAAAGACTTAAATGTCCAATAATGGAGAAATGAGAAAATAAAATATGATATATTCTCTCAGTACACGGCTAGGCATGCATTAAACTTTGTAATAACATGAAGAATGCTTGAGTAACAGTGACTTACGTCATCAACCTGGAGGTATAAACATAGCCGCATCCTCTTTATTATTCCAATGAATCATGTAAAACCCCACAAGCCTATGTGGGCGGGCAGTTTGGTATCCCATATCTTCTCAGTCACAATGATGTAGCCCAAAGGACTTCCAGGCTCTTCTAAAGGAGAGAGAACCATGAGTCAGAGGCAGCACTGCTGGCATTGCCACTTCAGGGTCTGCGGACACTGGACAAGTGTCCACAGCTACACTGAAGCCCTTGTACGTTTAGATATTGAGGCTACCATGGAGGTCACCACTCATTTCAAATGCTGAGCCATCCCACTGTTTCCCAGTCATGATGTCAGAACCAGGCTGGTCAGGCCTGGGACAAATGAAGGCTCAGTACAGGATCAGGCCAAAGCCAGACCTGTTTTAGATCCTTTTGGAAACTTTGGGAAGCCCCAACTTACTACCTCTCACTGTATGTTCTTATCTATCACTTTCATGCTCCTTCCCACCAAGAGGCCTCAGCCAGGAACACTGTGGTTCCTTTCAAATTTCTCTAATGTTGAATCTTAAGGAGAAATAGCTGGAGTTGGAGTCTCTTTACACTGACAAGCCTTCTAGACTTCTTATGAAAAACTGATTCACAACCTTCACAAATGGTAGGGCCGGGAGGGGAGGGAGGAAAGGAAGAAAGACATTGTTCAAACCAGAATCCTCTGCTTTGCTTCAGGGAGGGGCATGTAAACCAGAACAGGCTTCACACATGATTATGTAACTAAGGCCATTTTCCCCCACAATAAGAAAAATGTGTCCTAAGATGACTTGCTGATTTAACCTCTAAAACAAGAGGTTACATCATATTTTAAAATTCTACCCCACTGGTCACCTTGTTGTATTGATGCTTGTAACAATTTTTTAATATAATAAGTTTTTTTAAAATGGATATCTAATTATAAAGAGAAGAGTGGAACTGGCAGAGGCCTACAAGGACTTTGTCTTTTCCTAATAACCTCACTTCATAAATACCTGTCTAAGGAAAAGGGAAGGGAAGGAGAGAGAACTACATCCCAAAGATGCCATCCCAGTACCAGGGATGGAAAGCAGTCAGCCTCCCTAAAGAAGCAGAGTCTCCAGACTGTAGCTCTGGTATGAGAGTGACAAAACTCAGGCACGTGGTTGCTGTGTGAATGACATCCTGAGAAGTTAGGAGGTAGGAGTGTGGCTGGGACAGGAAACCAGACTGGAAAAAGAGAAGCTAAAAAGGAAGGAGAACGTGGAAGAAAGTGCTTTGCACTGAGACATACGTGCTGACTAACCCCCAGCCATACACCTAAATACGTGCATGATGGTCAAATACACATTACACGATACAGTTAACCCAGTAAAAAACAACAAAATCTATACATAAAATAGAAAGAAGATCAAAATATTAATTGCCATTCTCTTTCAATGGTAGCAATTAAGCTGTTCCCCCTATTATTTTTATTGCCATTTTGAAAAATTTTCAAAAGAATTATGCATCATTTTTTAACTTTTAAAATTAAATTTTTTTTCTTTAGAGGCAGGATCTTGCTATGTTTTGCCAGACTGGTCTCAAAGTCCCAGCCTCAAGTGCTGTTCTTGCCTCAGCCTCCCAAGTAGCGGAAACTACAGAGGCATGCCACTATTCCCAGCTAAATTTAATTTTTTAAAAGTTAGTAGTTAAACTTTTTAATGAAAAGTGCTTTCTGAACTAGCTAATATAACAAGCAATGTAATGTTCCTTTATTTTTATGAATATACATTTCTTTTCATTATTTTTTAATCACACAGGAAAAGGCTGTAAGGTTTGAATTTGCCTGTAGCTTAGTAGTTTGGTAAACTCATACTTGGCATAAGTATTAGTCAAACAGTACATGAATTGCTTATATAATGGAAAAAGAAATATTCTTAACATTATTAATTGAAATGTCTTATGCAATTTGCAACTTAGAGCTTAAATACTAGGATCTGAAATACACAGCTTCAAAATTCATTGTCCTGCTTCTACAAGACATCCAAACCTTGGCTAGGTTATCAGATGGCTGCCAAAATGGCAAGGAAGATAATAAGTTTGTTGAAAAGTTGAAATTGGAATGATGACCAAAACTGAATAACAGAAGATAAGTCACAATAATATGGATGAATTAGTTCTCGTTTTAATATTAATGAATACTCTACATTGTGGAATGAGAAATGAAGAAACCATGTCAACTTGTAAAAATTCCAAAACCAAAACAAAACCCCAGTGAAATATAGCCTTTTGGAATCATTTTACATATATTATTTTAAGTAATTATTACAATAATGTGTACATAGTATCATATGTTAAAACAGAGATTTAAAAAAATACAGCTGGTTAGCAGCAGCTCGAGTCCTCTAAATCCAGATCTTTTCTCACTGAAAAAAAAAAAAATCAGTACATAAGAAACACAGAAGCATAAAAACTTGCACTAGACTTTTAAAGTTTCCAAACTGTGTATACTATCTCAATGAAATTTAAAAAAATAATCCACGCAATTCAATAGTTATTTATGACACTCCAAAAAAGCCACGAAACCTGCCTTGATTTGGGTCTCCCATAACCAGAAAAGGATTCAAGTGCAAGTAGTTTATTTGCAAGGTGATCCCAGAAAACAATAATAAAGAATGTAGTATGAGGAAAGGAAGAAAGAAAAGAATGCCAGTAACATGTATTATCCACCCAGCTTACCATTGTGGGTAACTGGAGCTTAAAACCACTGGGGCGCCTCAGGAGACAGTGTAGAACACACCCCAGATTCACCTCAACTGAAGGATAAGGGAGCTGAGTATCCACCACCATTCTTTCTGTCTTTGGATTAATGCTTATTTCAGAAACATCACCTCTTCAGAACTGACCTGCCCTTCACGCAGGCCAACCTGTGATCTGAAAATGTCTTCAGGCTGGTGGTTGTCGTAGCAGTCTTCAACATATAGAGTGAAACAATCAAGGAGCTACAGCCAGAACCTTGACATCTCCTACGGCTCTCAGCTTGGTGAGCTTTAGCTGGGTGAGGTACTGAAAATATTAAGCACCTATATAGCATTTACCTCTCAGCATATTACATACAGGTCTATGGCTGGCATACTATTACTATCCCTATTTTACAGATGATAAAACTTAGTCACAAAGTGGTTAAGTGACTTACCCAAGGACACACAGCTGGAATTTGAACCCAAGCTCTCTGATTCCAGAATCCACAAGCTTTGCTACCTTGATACATCTCCTCTACTGTGGCCATGGCTGATCTGCCCACGTGAAAAGTCAAGGAGTCTGGGGAAAGCTTCTCACATAGCTCTGAAAGGAAAGATATTGGCTTTTTCCTCATCAATTCTCAATGGCTCCATAGACAGTAGCCCCTGGGTTCTATTGACCTTGTTGCCCAGTCAGCCAAGGTACACATTCGACATCAGAAAATGAAGACCTACAGGACAAACTTTTTCCCATCACATGCCTTCTACTCATTATTCCTAGCCTCTAAATTTGCTAGAATCTTTATTCAGAATCCACACAGTCCAGCAGTCATTTTGAGATACGCTGACTTTCACTAACAGTTTCAATTCTATGAACCTCTAAGCCTCTCTTTTTATAATGCTGTTGCAACCTGGGATGCAATCAGTTTGACCAGAGATTGTGAGCAAAGAGGTAATTTAGCTCTCTTTCAACTGACTGTGTAACTGTCATGGACATGGTGTTAGGCAGGTGGTAAATTAGCTACTTGGAGAGGTCTTCTCATTCTTTCAGGCCACTGAGGCATTAAAACCTCTATAAGCATCTACTAGGCCATGTCATAAATGTCTGTGAGACTCTACTTTGGCACAATTTTAGGAAAACTACTTAATCCAGGAAACATCGTTAGAATTATGGCTTACTAGGCTTTTTTGTTTTTTAAGACTATGAGCCTGAGTACCCATTTGAGTTTGGTAAACAGAATTTGGAATTGATTCTAATAGGTTTAGACACTAAGTACTCTCAGCCAATTCCTCCAATTAAACAGAGAATAGAAACAGATGAGAAATCAATCAACAGAAAATGAAACACCTTTGATCACCTTGGGTGGGATTTGCAAATGGGCCCATTTCTTTGTTGTCTTATATTATCTTGTGGCATTATCAAACTCTCTCTAAGACAAACTAGAAAAGCAGAATGGGCTCAGATTTCTTTAGTGGAATGACAGGAAAGGGGGCATTGCATTTAAGTCTTTCCTATTTCAAAAAAAATTATGGACATGATTCAGTTCCCAACTCTTTTAAACAGTAACACAATGAGTATGTGCATACAAAAACAAAACAAAAGAAAACCTGGAGGATACATCAAATGTTTCCCTTCCACTGCACTGCGTTTTTAGTAAATTTATTCCTATTTTACATTTCTTAGAAATCCTGAAAACTTTTGTCACACTTCCCGTGTGGGTGAGTAGAAAATCAACATAATATCAAGTGTTAAGTTTTCATGTATGTCTTCTTCATTATTTGCAGGTATCACCAGTGTGTCTTCAATGCTGGATCACCTCAGCCTGTACCTTATTGTCCATACTGCTATCAGTGTTTTGGGCAAAGCCATTCAACAAGTCTGTATGAAGTTCCAAACTTTCCCACATTTTCATATCATCTTCTGAGCCCTTTTAACTGTTCCAACCTCTGCCTGTTACCGAGTTCCAAAGTCATTTCCACATTTTCAGGTATCTTTTCAGCAGCACCCCACTCTACTGGTACCTATTTACTGTATTAGTCTGTCTTCACTCTGCTGACAAAGACATACCCAAGACTGAAAAGAAAAAGAGGTTTAATGGACTTACAGTTCCACATGTATGGGGAGGCATCATAAACATGGTAGAAGGCAAGGAGGAGCAAGTCACATCTTACATGGATGGTGGCAAGCAGAAAGAGAGTTTGTGCAGGGAAACTCCTGTTTTTAAAACCATCATATCTCATGAGACTTATTCACTGTCATGAGAAGAACATGAAAGAAACCTGCCTCCATGATTCAATCACCTCCCACTGGGTTTCTCCTATGACACACGAGAATTGTGGGAGTTACAATTCAAGATGAGATTTGGGTGGGGACACAACCAAAGGATATCAAGAGCTATTAATAAGTACAGCCTGTGATATTTGTTATTGAATGGATTTTACTGAGGAGCTGACACTTTCTGTTCACCCTGAAGTGATATCACCAAAAAGCCCTCTTTAATCAAGGGGCTTACTCAGAAAATTATATTGCCATGCTATAGCAGTTGTGAAAACTGATGTATCCCTAATAAAGATGCCACTAAAATTATTTGACAGTGCAGTTCAACATTAAACAAAAATAAAATTTATGACATGAAATTTACCATAGATCTGGTGGGATGGAAACAAATACTCCATCAGAATATACTGCACTAGGAAGCCTACAGAAAACTGGCTTTCTGATATACAGAGGATATGGCAGGTAGAGTGGTCATAAGGCATCAGCATCAGAGGTTCACTTTGTCTTGGCTACTGAGGGAAGAATTCTTCAGAATGTCCTACAGGACACCAGTCTTTTTCTTGGCATATAAAACCTCAAATCATTATTAGAATTCTGGTGTACATAAAACTGTGCACATATTCTTATGCTTTATTCTTTTATCAATTCCAGAACATAGCAGGGCTAGCACACAGCTGAAATTTCATATCAGAGATGCTTTGGATCATTTAGTCCTGGTAAGCAGTAACATACCATGCTACATTAGGAAGAATGGCATGGTTGTCAAAAGACAACCATGTTTCAATTTTGCCATTCACACATGACCTTAGGCATGTTCCTCGATTTCACAAAAATCAAACTTTTCGTCTTTAGAATAGGTATCCTTAAAGAATTCATGTGAGGGCCAAATACTGAAAATATGTCCTATATAGTAAAACACTGCACAAAATAGAAAATATTATTACTGCATGGCCCTTCATTCTTGGTGACATTCTACCAAAAATAAAAGTTTTTAAATGTAAAAACCTCTAATTTGGCATTAATAGGAAGTCAAACAGTACATCTCAGAAATCACTTTGAAATGTTAAATCATGGAGCAAAGAAGGAGGCAACATTTCTAGTAATTAAGAGCTGGGCTTTGTAATCAAGCAGAATTAGATGCAATTCCAAGGTTCAACACATGCTTGTTGTGGATCTTAGGCAATTAATTTACAACTGTAATCCTCAGTTTCCTCTTCTTTCAAATGAAGAGTCTGATACGATCTCACTCATTAAGTTGTTGTGTTAAATTGGAAAATGCACATAAAAGTGATTAGACCATCATTTTCAATAGATGTTATATGATTTTACTGTTGTTGTTTCTATTGTAATTTGCATTTTGAAATTTCCTAGGGAGAAAAAATTGTCTCTAATGCCAAAGACAAGAATCCCAAGCAGAAGCTGAGAGAATGTGATGGGGAGTCTCGCAGATCCCTGAGATCCAGAATTTAAATTAAAGGCCTTGGGGACTTTTGCCAAAATGGCCAAATAGGAACAGCTCCAGAGGGCAGTTCCAAGTGAGAGTGATGCAGAAGGTGAGTGATCTCCTCCACATTTCCAACTGAGGTACCAGGTTCATCTCAATAGGGCTGGCTGGACAATGGGTATAGCCCTAGGAGGGCAAACCAAGGTAGGGTGGGGTGCTGCCTCACCCAGGAAGTGCAAAGGGCCAGAGAACTCCCACTCCTCTCTAAGGGAGGCCACTGGGGACTTTTCTGGATGCTCAGGCTCCTTGGCTCAGATATTGTTCTTTTCCCAGTCTTTAGAGCCCGCAGACCAGGAGATTCTCACCAGTGCCAAAAACACCAGCACCATGGGTTTCCAGCACAGAACTGGGTAGCTGTTTTAGCCAATGCCTGGAACACCAGCAAGACAGAACCATTCATTCCCCCGAAAAAAAGGGGGCTGAAGGGAGGGATCCAAGTGATGTGACTCGACGGGTCCCATCCCCACAAAGACCAGCAAGCTGAGACCCACTGGCATGTGATTTTTTCAGCCTGCACAGCAGTTTGAGCTCCATCTGGGATGGTCAAGCTTGGAGGGGGGAGAGGCATCCACCATTACTGAGGCAGTTCTAACCTTACCTGTGTAAAAAAAATCACAAGGAAGTTTACACAGCAGCTGGGCAGAGCTCATGGCAGCTCAGCAAGCCCTGTGCAGGCAGATTGTGACTAGATTCCCTTCTTGCTGAGCAGGTCATCTCTGAAAAAAGGCCGCAGCCCATCAGGGACTTAGAAATAAAGCCCCACCTTCCCAAATCAGAGCACCCAGGAAAAGGGGCAGTTTTGAGTCCCACTTCAACAGACTTAAACATCTCTGCCCAGCAGCTCTGAAGGAAGCAACAGAGCTCCCAGCACAGCACTTGACCTTTGAGAAGGGACAGACTGCCTCTTCAAATGGCTCCCTGACCCCCATATATCCTAAGAGACACCTTTTACAGGAGAACTCTGGCTGACATCTGGCGGGTACCCTTCTGAGATGAAGCTACCAGAGGAAGGAACAGGTAGCAATCCTTGCCGTTCTACAGCCCCCACAGGTGATTCCCAGGCAAGTAGGGTCTGGAGTGGATCTCCAGCAGTCCTGCAACAGAGGAGCCTGACTGTTAGAAGGAAAATGAAAAAGCAAAAAGAAATAGCTTCAACATCAACAGAAAGGACATCCACTCAGAGACCCTATCTGAAAGTCACCAATGTTAAAGATCAAAGGTAGATAAACCCACAAACATGGGAAGAAACCAGCACAAAAAGGATGAAATCATCAAAGACCAGAATGCCTCTCCTCCTCCAAGGGATCACAACTCTTCACCAGCAAGGGAACAAAACAGGATGGACAATGAGTTTGAGGAATTGACAGAAGCAGGCTTCAGAAGGTAGGTAATAACAAACTTCTCTGAGCTAAAGGAACATGTTCTAACCCAATGCAAAGACACTAAAAGCCTTGAAAAATGGTTAGATGAAATGCTAACTAGAATAACCAGCTTAGAGAAAAACAAAACAACTTAATGAAGCTGAAAAATACAGCACCAGAACTTTGGGAAGCATACACAAGTTTCAATAGTTGAATCCATCAAGCCGAAGGAAGGATATCAGAGATTGAAGATCAACCCAATGAAATAAAATGAGAAGGCTAGACTAGAGAAAAAAGAGTGAAAAGAAATGAACAAAGCCTCCAAGAAGTATGGGATTATGTGAAAAGACCTAATCTACATTTGATCAGAGTACATGAATGTGATGGGGAGAATGAAAACAAGTTGTAAAACACTCTTGAGGATATTATCTAGGAGAACTTTCCCAACCTAGCAAGGCAGGCTAACATTCAAATTCAGAAAACACAGAGAACACCACAAAGATATTCCTCAGGAACAGCAACCCCAAGGCAACTGTATTTGTGACCCAGTTCTTTTCCTGGTATGGAGGAGGGCCTAAGTGATAAGATTCTGCCCAAAATGGAGCCAACAGTCAAGGCTAAGTATGGGGATAGTTTTGCTGACCATGAGCACAGGGCATGGAAAAGGAAGAAAGGAAATTTTACATGCCTGGCAAAGGTAGCTAGGGAAGAAAGGGATAGTATATAGTGTCTTAAAAGAAGACAAGAGAATAGAATCAAAAGAGATATCAAGGTAAAGAAAACGCACATGCCACTGTGGATTGGCAGGATAAAGGAAAGGGGTTCAGGTCAAGCCTGAAGCCATAATAATAGAAGTGTGGTGTATTAGTCCATTCTTACACTGCTATAAAGAAATACCTAAGACTGGGTAATTTATAAAGGAAAGAGGTATAATGACTCACAGTTCTGAATTGCCGGGAAGGCCTCAGGAAACTTACAATCATGGTGGAAGGCAAAGGAGAAGCAGGCACCTTCTTCACAGGGCAGCAAAACAGAATGAATGCAAGCAGGGGAAATGTCAGACACTTATAAAACCATCAGATCTTGTGAGACTCATTATCACAAGAACAGCGTGGGGGAAAGTGCCCACATGATCCCATTACTTCCACTTGGTCCCACCCTTGACCATGGGGATTATGGGAATTACAATTATAGATAAGATTTGGGTGGGACATGAAGCCAAACCATATCAGGTAGTTTTTAAGAATAACTATGGAGCTTGGTGAGGAAACTGCTAGAAATAATTCATTACCTTCATTTGATATTTGGGGTAAAGAATATTAGATAATTGTGAAATTAAAACTTTAATTTTTTATCCTAAGTGAAGAAATAGGCTATCTCTTAAGAAAATAAAATATGCTTTTGGAGGTACGAATATGCAGTTGAGAGAGGAGGTAGAAAGAAACTAGCTAGGCAAAGAGTTAGGACTAAAACTCCTCTGCAGAACTTCCCTTCTAGCAAAAAGCAGCCCAAGAAATCATTTCTTTTCTAATAAAGATGGAAGATCAGGGTGCAAACACAGATAAGGAAGCTGAAAGCTTGCATGGGGGGAATGCCTGCAGCTGCATCTATTAAAAAAAAGGGGGTACCTGGGGGCCAGGCACATCACTATGATGGTTCCACCTCCCCATTTTTAACACATACACAGTAGGAAAGCAAGGTGGAATAGCTCAGGCAAAGGACCTGCCTGTGTAATAAAAGATTGGTGTGGGGATGCCAGAGATTCGCTCTCTATACAGATGGCACACCTGGTCCTATCCAGCTTTTCACACCGTATGTAGATAAGATGCTGCTTCCCCACTAGCTTATAAAACACTTGCATTTCACTGCTGAATGGCAATCGTTTTTGGGACCCTTCTCTGCTGCAAAGAGCTGTTCTCTTTCTTCTGCCTATTAAATTTCTGCTTCTGCTCTGACCTCACACTTGGTGTGTCTTCATTCTTGATTTCCTCAGCCATGAGATCAAGAATTTCAAGTACCACAAGGCTGCTTCATGTTGAGCCGATCTCAGAAAGTTGTGCTATTTTATTTAACTGACACAGAAACCACGACTTTTTGTGTTCATGATTCTTTCTGGTTAAACCACTTTACAAGGTACATAAATTGACTAGGACTCTAGAATAATAATTAAAAGGAGTTGCAAAATTCAACGCATCAAAAAGCATCCCAAGGCCTGAAAGAATTAGCACACTTTACCACAAAACCCAACAAACTAGAAGGGCCAGATATACATATTTTTAAAAATCTAAAACAAAACAAAAAAGCTTAAAAACTCAAAACGATAAAATAAAATACAATTTCAATATACTTCCTAATGTTAATCTGACTCCTTTCTCCAAGTTAAATTCTTCAAAATAGATTTTACCATATCAGAAAAATAATCTGCAGGTATTAGTAATGCACACAGTAAGAAAAAAAAACATTGCGATGTGAATCAGAAATAACCCTTGTCTTTTTTCTTTTCTTTTTTTTTTTTCTTGAGACGGAGTTTCGCTCTTGTTACCCAGGCTGGAGTGCAATGGCACGATCTCGGCTAACCGCAACCTCTGCCTCCTGGGTTCAGGCAATTCTCCTGCCTCAGCCTCCCGAGTAGTTGGGACTACAGGCATGCACCACCATGCCCAGCTAATTTTTTGTATTTTTAGTAGAGACAGGGTTTCACCATGTTGACCAGGATGGTCTTGACCTCTTGACCTCGTGATCCACCCGCCTCAGCCTCCCAAAGTGCTGGGATTATAGGTGTGAGCCATCGGACCCGGCCCCCTTATCTTATTTATAGTAAAGCACAGTGCTTATTAACAAAATAAATCAAGATTCAGCTGCATGTGGAAGAAAGCATCCAGTGAAGTGATGCTAACATTTGTGATAGAATACTTTTTTTCTTGAAATTTCCCAAGATTTCTTGCATTTACTCAGACCCTTCATAATAAGATTACCACTTTCATCAGCAGACCTCAATGTTTTCACTCATGATAGCTCTTAAAATCAAGATTCCAAAGGCACGGGCAATGCATATTACTATTACCCTTTTTTAAAGATATAAATCTAATTTTTTTATTCTTCACTAAATTTTAATTATTATTTATTCTTAAAATTCAACCAATGTTGTGGTGAAATGTCAACTCTTTTGCCAATTACAACTGTTTGATGCATGGACAAATAACAAAGTTTGCTCTATGGATTCCTTTTTACTATCATATTGTTGAATTCTCGTTAGGGAGGATAAAAGATACCTAGCATCATATAACAGTTGACCTATGAAGGGAATTTTAGAGCTCATCTTTCCAACTCTCAAAGTCCATTAAACTGAGGTCTCGAGATCTTATTGAGAAACTATTGAGGCACGAGAAAAGACAAAATGATACACAATCTGGAGTTCTCCAACATCACCGTAGCCAGATCACCCTAGAATGATGCTACTGCCAATTAATCCCACTCACATAGTTAGAGCTTCCAATAAGTGATGTGCCCCTACTTGGAAATATGAGCAGATATCCAAGGATTATCAATATCTTAAGGCTATAAAAACAAAAAAAGCAACTTAGAGGAAACAGAGGCTAAGCAAGAAGAGAGTCTCAAAAATTATCCTTAATATCCTCAGATACAAGAAGATAATGCAACCCTAAAACAAGAACAGCAGATCCAGTATAGATCAGAGGCAAAGAGAACCCTAGGATGGTGGCAAATGGCGATCCAAAGGTGACAGTTGCACACCAAAGATGGAGGGCAACTCGGACCAACTGAAGGAGGTCAGAATGTTCTGAGAATAGTCCCTGCAAGGAGATGAAGTTGTTAGGATAAAGGATGTGAGTGAAAGAATTAAGAGATTTAGGCAACTGGCAGAGTGTTCAAGATTGGGCTCATTGGCTGGGTGCAGTGGCTCATGCCTGTAACCCCCAGCACTTTGGGAGGTGAAGGAAGGAGGATTTCTTGAGCCCAGCAGTTCGAGATCAGCCTGGGCAACATAGGGAGATCCCATCTCCACAGTTTTTTTAAATAAAATTAGACAGGCATGTTGGTGCATGTCTGTGGTCCCAGCTACTTGTGAGGCTGAGGTAGGAGAATCAGGATTACTGAGCCTGGGAGATTGAGACTACAGTGAGCCATGATCACACCACTATACTTCAGCCTGGGCAATAGAATGAATCCCTGTATAAAACAAAGAAAGAAAGAAATAAAGAGAGAGAGAGAGAGAGAGAGAGAGAGAGAGAGAGAGAGAGAGAGAGAGAGAGAAGGAAAAGAAAGAAAGAAAAGAAAAAGAAAAAGGTTGATGGGGGGAATTATTTTATCCACAGGGGGGAAAAAATCAGGTTAGGTAAGAAAATATAATCATAGTTTACTACATGATTCAGGTATAAATGGTGTACATGGTAATAATAATGTAAATATTAAATATGGATCTAATCAAAACTATAATTTTACCATATTGGGAGAATAGAGAATGGGAGAGTGATAGAGATATTAGAATAGACATATTAGAGAGTGATCAGTAAGGGAGAACCAAATGCTCATCTTCCATACTGGGAAGTCAACAGACAATACCTAAAATGTAAATACCCAAAGAATAAGGTAAAAGACTAAAAAGTGATTGACTCTAAGTATGGGAATTGAAGAAAGAAAACTAGGCACTGATATTAGCCTTAACCTGCCTTGTGGAAATAGCTGGCCATCTGATCTAAGTGCATGCATACAAAAATAAAAATTTTCTTAAAATAAGAAATGGGTACAAGTTATGTAAGATGGAAAGAGGAGGACCAGTAGAAGAGTGTCCTAGGCAAAGGCTGTGTTGGAGTCACAGCGTGGTATAGTGGGAGGCTATGAGCAGAACCACACTGCTAAATCATTGTCTGAGTTACTGGGCAGTCTCTAGATCTCTTCTCTATAACACTTGTACTTCCTCACCCACCATGATGGTGGTGAAAAGCAGTGCCAAGGATTTTGACAATCTGGGACACTGAAAAGTAAATAGTGCTTCTCTAGCACAGCTTGAAACAAAGTGAACTGTTCAACCTGATAAGATATCTCTAGTGTTTTAAATAAGGTGTAGAATTTACAAATTGCTTTTCAGCAGAGTTAGTGTATCCAGAACTAGGTGAGCCTGAATATGACTCCAGACAGAGGACCCAAGTAGATGGCAACACTGGTTTTGCTGAAGCTTGGAGGACAATCAGCATACTCAGGCTGGCAGAGACGAATGAGAAGGAAAAGGAGCTTCCCTGGAGCCTCTAGCTGGTCACTTAAAAGGTTTTCGAGGGTCATAAGTGGATTTGGCTGGTGAGGTGTTTTGTTCTGTTCTTCTGGGTATTGAGTTACCTATATTGTAAAAGGTTTAAAAAAATTAGTCATTAAGTTAAAATGAAAAAGTCTGGCTTTTTAAGGTGACAATTGCAAACAGGTAATCCAAAATTAAAGGATAAAATTTAAACAGTAAGCACTAGAAATAACAGAACATTATAACCAATTTCTTAAAAAATGTTTTACAAGTGCTTATGTATATTTAAGAGGGCAAACATCAAGGAAAAATTGTGTGCACTTACAATAATAACAGGGGGAATTAGAGACAATGGAAAAGGAAATAGTAGAGACACTAAACAATTACTTGCAGCTGTCTTTACAAATATAAAAGACTAGAGATTTGTCCAATTTGGGGATCAGATTCCTTCCACTGAAAGCATGAGAATTTGGAAGTGGGTAGATAATAGTGCTACTGCTGATAAAGACAGAGTATATTTCATCTGATAAATGCAGACAAGAAGTATCAGAAAGGAATGGGAAACAGGTTTTTAAGAGATTCATTTTTGAATTTGTGTTATTTTCATAAAAAGCAAGGGGCTTAGACAGTGACTATCATAACTGAATGGAACTATCCCAGCTTTAAGAAAGGTAACAACCAAATAGTTTAATTTTGGTGAAAGAACAACATTTAGGAAGGATATAATCAGAAAGGAAAGAGCATATGTACCATGCCTTTTGATATAGGAAATGAACTGTTAGATTAGAATCTACTCCCAAGTTCCTCTCTGAAAATTGTGAAAACACAGAAGCATAATTGCAACTGCCCAAAGATAAAGAGGATCCTCCTGGCCCTACCCCATAGTTCTGAAGCTTCAGTTTGATTTATTTAAAATTTAAAATTGATCTAATTTAATAATCTCTAAGGGATCATTATACCCACATTTGGATGCTGGAAGTAAAGTCGAGCCATTTTGGAAAGCTTTGCTGAAGGTTTCACATGCTTTGTGAGGTTTCCCCATTAGCTGTGATCGTTAACTTTAGTGTCCTTTAACAGCAACAACTAAGTTAAGCCAAGCAAATATCCAGCCTTGCTCTTTCCACTGAGGGTATCTGTTTTACAGAGAGCACTTGTCTCCTTTGGGGTTTGGTTCTAGTCCTTACACTGATTC